AGTGTCTTCTTTTAATCAGCTTTTTAATTTATTTCCAGCATTTTTGAGAGCTTCACTGTTGCCCTATTATTTGTTTTCCACTCAGAGTCAGCTTGTAGAGGAGGTGGGAGGCATAATTTTTTTTTAATGAATAATAAATAGAAATAGCAGAAAGCCGTCAGGAAGGATACAATTCAAAGGCATAATTTTATATATATATATTTCTGAACTTAGCTTTGCAAGCCATGCTCAGTGTTGTTCATTGTTCTTCACAGATGTAGTGATGTCAGCAAGGACACTCATCCACCTGTTCCAGTCACTGAATCCACGGATGTTGCAGAAAAAATTCCGGGTAAATAATGATTTCGTTTCTGTGAGAAAGAATGAATTGCTAACCATTGATGCTCACCTCCTGAAATTAAAAAAAAAAAAAGAGGCCAGTAAAATTAAGAGTTGGTATGAAACATCTAGGTCAGACATGTCAAACACAATCCGGCCCATGAAGTGGTTTCATGTGGCCCGCGAAGCCATCCTGGAAACAGTGAGGGAACGGCCCCCACTGCCTTGGCCCTGGCCCGGGCCGGCCGGGAGCCAATGTACAATTTTGTGGTGGCCATCTATGCTGAAACACATTCAGTCTTAGCTCCACAAGGCCGTCTGGAAACAGCGAGGAACCAGACCCTGCCGCGTTGGCCCCACCACCTGGGTGCATGCTGGGGAGGTGTCCCCCTTTGTGAGGAATGAAGAAATGGACCATGCCTTGGCGCTTGCCCTGGTCCCACCCCCTTCTGCCAGGGACCTTCAGATCTGTCCCACTCCTGCCCAGGCCCCCACAGGCACCCATGACGCGAACGATGTAGAGCTGGCCATGCCCACCCAGTAGACCACACCCATTCCATCCACACGGCCCCCCGAGGGCAACCGCAATGCTGACGCGGCCCTCAATGAAATTGAGTTTGACACCCCTGATCTAGGTTATGGGTCCCCAACCCCCAGTCCATGGACCATTACCGGGCTGCACAAACAAGCAAAGCCCCATCCGCAAGATTCAGGCAGCACGCAAAACCACGGACCCTCCAGTCCATGGAAAAACCTCTCTCCACGTAACCGGTCCCTGGTGCCCAAAAGGCTGGGGACCTCTGGGCTAGGTGAAAGTTTTAATCTCTTGATCTCATGAGTAAGTTGTATCTTATGCGCTGGTTCTTGCTGTATCTGCTGCGGATCTTCTGATTTTGATTCTGGAGTTGTAACTCTTCAGCATGGGTTTTTTTTGCCATTGGCCACCTGATGGACTTGGTGCACCCTGGCTCGGAACTCTCGTTGCACCTGTTGGGGTTGAAGAAGACAGTTCTGGCTTGTTTAAGCTTTCTGTGATTGCCATCCATCTTCTTTAGGTATCTTCTAAAACAGGGGACTTCAAATGGGGCAACTTTTAAGACTTGTGGACTTCAACTCCCAGAATTCCTCAGCCAGCTAGGGAATTCTGGGAGTTGAAGTCCACAAGTCTTAAAAGTTGCCCCATTTGGAGAGCCCTGTTCTAGAAGCAAGAGAGAAGATGGCCCAAGCTTGAAGCCATCCTAGTTGTCTTGAAGCATCCTTTCTAGAAATATCTTAATGTGTTTTCCCGAAAGTAAGGCCTACACCAACAATAAGCCCTAGCTTGATTTTGGAGGGTGGGCCTAATATAAGCCCTATCCCAAAAATAAGCCTTAGTTTTGGGGTGAGGCACACACCTAAAACTCAGCTGGAGGTGGCGGTGTGGAGCTGCCCCACCCACCCTGCACCCACTTCCCTTGCAGCCAGGCCTCTCCTTGCCGGCCCACTTCTTCTGAGGCCTCTTCTGCAGCCAGGCCTGCATTTCTCAGTCACAGGGCTTTCCGGAAGGCCTATGCACCCAAGAACCGAGCTATGGATTCAGTCCGTAGCTCGGTTCTGCAAGACCTCAGCAGCTGAGCACCGAGCTATGGATTGAATCCATAGCTTGGTACTCGGCTGCATAGGCCTTCCGGAAAGGACTGACTGCAAAATGCAGGCCCGAATGCAGCTGCAGAACTTTGGCCCCAGAAGAAGTGGACCGGCTGGGTGGGGCTGTCGGTGCAGGAGGTGAGGTAAGGCCTACCTTGAATATAAGACCTGGCACCTCTTTTGGAGGCAAAAAAAAAAAAAAAAGACCCAGTCTTATTTTCAGGGAAACACGGTAGGATGTAGCGTTCATTAAGCACTGATTTGTCTGCAGGGTAAACCAACAGAAGCCACTTCAGAAGCCAAGATCCATGAATATGGGGAATTGGATGTCAAAGATTATATTCCAGGAGCTGAAGTCCTGGAGCTCGAGAAGGAAGAAGAAGAAGAAAACCTTAAAGAAGAAGGAGGTCAGTTTGAGTTTGGCATCGGTACATTTCTGCTCCTCTTGCTTAGAATTCTAGGAGTTGAGGTCTACAGTTGTTAAAGTTGCCAAGGTTGAATACTCCTGATTTAAGGTGTGTAAAGGGGTATCTTATGGCGCGTTAAAGGCTAATCATATTTTTTCTATTTTGTTGTTGTTGCTGTTAATTGTGAAGTCGTGTCCGACCATTGCGACCCCATGGGCAACGTTCCTCCAGGCCTTCCTGTCCTCTACCACAGTGGTTCTCAACCTGTGGGTCGGGACCCCATTTGGGGTCGATCGACCATTTCATGGGGGTCGCCAAGCAAGGCTGTCCGCCATTTTTTTCCCCTTTTCTGAGGGTATTTTACCTCCCTTGGGCTGGGCCAGCTGGTGGTCGGCCTGCTCCGTCTCTGCCGCTTGCCAGCTACGCCTCGGCCAGCGCAGGGGGCGGAACCATGTATGCGTGGCGCTCCCGGGCAGGGAAAGTCCTCGACTTACGACGGGTTGGGTAGTCCTCAACTTATGACCGGTTTAGTCCTCGACTTACGACCGGTTTAGTCCTCGACTTACGGCCGGTTGGGGTCACGGCATTAAAAAAGTTGAGAACCACTGCTCTACCATCTTCTGGAGTCCATTTAAGTTCACGCCTACTGCTTCAGTGACTCCATCGAGCCGCCTCATTCTCTGTCGTCCCCTTCTTCTGTTGCCCTCGATCTTTCCCAGCATTAGGCCCTTCTCCAGTGAGTCCTTCCTTCTCATTAGGTGGCCAAAGCACTTGAGTTTCAACTTCAGGATCTGGCCTTCTAAGGAGCAGTCGGGGTTGATCTCCTCTAGGACTGACCGGTTGGATCGCCTTGCAGTCCAGGGGACTCGCAGGAGTCTTCTCCAGCACCATAGTTCAAAGGCCTCAATTCTTTGTCGCTCAGCCTTTCTTATGGTCCAGCTTTCACAGCCATACATTGCAACTGGGAAAACCATGGCCGTGACTATACGCACTTTTGTTGGCAGGGTGATGTCTCTGCTTTTCAGTGTGCTGTCTAGATTTGCCTTAGCTTTCCTCCCCAGGAGCAAGCGTCTTTTAATTTCTTGGCTGCAGTCCCCATCTGTGGTGATCTTGGAGCCCAGGAAGATAAAATCTGTCACTACCTCCATTTCTTCCCCATCTATTTGCCAGGAATTGAGAGGGCCGGATGCCATGATCTTGGTTTTCTTAATGTTGAGTTTCAAGCCCACTTTTGCACTCTCCTTCTTCACCCACATCAAGAGGCTCTTTAGTTCCTCTTCACTTTCTGCCATTAGAGTGGTA